AAAAATTTTGGGTCGTAGTATATCAAAAATTTCCCATATATTTAGTATATAAAAATGCTTTCTATGACTAAAATTTCATGCCGGAAACTTTTTTTTAAGGTCGGGAGTTAGTTGGCATAGTAAAATTTCGCGTTATTTACAATTTCTTGCATTTTTTTACATTTTTTGTATTTGGTTTGTTACACAAGATCCTGTAATTTTATTGGATCCGATCTACAAAATTTATGATCAGAAGTGATCTTCAGCCCGGAATTTGCTTGACATAAGGATACCCAGTAAAGTTGGTAGCACTGTACTATCAGAAAGGATGCTTCCAGAATGATTCTTCCATAATAAGCATAATATTAATTATAAAAATAAGTGTCTTACTATAATGATTATTATTGGTTATTATAAACTTACCTTTGAGCGAAGTTTGCTTCCCAGTGGTCTTGCATACTTAATAGTAAAATTTCAAAAGACAATAATATAGGAAAATGAATAATTTGATAAGCAAAATGAAGGTTATATTCTACCTTATTTGGGAGAGTTGACAGAGTTGACGGAGTTGACTCCTCATTTGGATAGGTCCACTTGCTTCCAATTATTGATGCATTGTTTTTCTGATTCAAAATAAAATTTATCTTCATCTTGTTCAAAATGGAATTGGCCTTATTTCCCATAAGAGACTGGTCGACAGCAAACTGAATCTGCAAGCCATGAATCAAAAATAAAATTGATAAGAATGATTGACAAATTAAAATGAACAATTACAGAACACACTTCAACTTCATTGTGTCTGCCTCCAATTTGACATTATTCCAGAACATCCACACATCATCCCTTGTGCTTGTTGCTATAGAAGTAGCAAGAGAATGATTAGTAAAAGGGCTACACTGAATCCTGAAGACAAAGCAGATAGTCAGGGACTATGTATGAACATAATAGTTCTTGGCACTGTGGCATAATAGGCACTGGCCTTCACATAGACTTGAGAAGAAGCCTACCAGAGATAATACTCCATTATTAGCCTGGTGCGTAGGCAGGCACTTTAGATGGTTGTTCCGGTATAATAACCCAATTCCTTCCTATCCTTTGCATTCAAGCATCAACTTAAATAAAAAAGATACTCGCCTTTAGTAATCCATTTTTGAGAAGGGAGGTAGCCTTTTTCCACTTTTCGTCCGTTATACTTTCTGCAATCCATGATACAAATTTAGATATCGTCAAGTGCTTGATTCGCTTATCGTATGTGAAGTCAGATTTAGTTTTACGGAAATTAATTTGGCGACCAAATTTTTAGTTTTGGTGACCAAAAATTAGCTAAATTTCTCAAACGCACCGTAATGGTTTTATAGAAAGGAGACAGAGAGTATCGGGGTCCAAGGCCGTCTTCCAACCTTCAAACTATAATTATAGTTTCACATTTTTTTTTAAGTGGTGAAATTCGTAAACAAACGAAATGTTTTAAACTTCATACTATCCACTGAATACTCACCTTTTTCATTTCGAAAGTAGACATTTTAAACATTTGTGACTTAAGCTACTATCGCGTTTTTTTTCATATATATGACAGCCAAAGACATGTGACTTAAGACACTAGACACATGATTCGTGTACCGCCTGGTTTTAACGGTACGATAATCCCATAATACAAAGAATCACATGACTTGACCATCAATAATCTTTAAACGGATTCAACTAAAAATCATTACATAAAAAATGTGTAAATTCCTATATACTGCAAAGTGCATATCTTTGGCTTTGTGGTTTCCATGGCACATTAGAACAAAATAGCAGAGTCTCTGAGAGCCATAAATTTTTGAACTCTCGTGTTTTCGGCTTATTTCACACCTGCAATATTATTAAAAAATTTATACTAATTTTTGTGAAATATCGATATTCGAATCCCATTAACCATATCCATTGGGAATGAAGCTTCGTTTTTTATTCCATTTATTCATATACAGATTAAATTGTGAAGATAATCTTTATGGTTATAATAAAAATGCTAAAGTTTTGCCACCATATATATTTTCTAATACCAATATACGTATGATGATGAAATCTAAGCATTAATTGCTTGTAATCTTTGTCAATGTTAGAACCGTTAAGATCGTTTGATATGACTTGACTTTTAAAAGTTTAATAAAGACTAACCTAGTATATGAAATATAACTTTGGACTTTAAAAATTTCAAAAAAGTCTATTAGTCAAAGATTAACACTTAGGATTTTTTTTATATTGTTCGAATCGTCTCATTAAGACGATTCAGATGATATTAAATAAGTCTTAAGTTACTTGATTCTAGTATATTTTTACTAAAAGTAAACAGGTTTTTCTCTCATATGATATAATCATGATATTTGATTTTCGATAAAAAATAAAAAACTTGCTTTGAATTCAGATTGTCCAACATTAGCAGACCTTTTAGAATTTCTCATACAAGAACTTGCCAAGTATTCTTAAATTTATCCGTAAAGGGATTCTTTCTTCGTTACTTTTTATAAAATAATATTATATATATATGTTTTAATAACAAACTTTACGAGCTACAATACTTAAAACTAAGTTGAAAAATTTGTTAATAATATGATATATGTGTAAAAATTGGTATTAATTATCTGATACATGGGTTTAGCATTATCATCCCTCCCAGAGATTCTTCAAGATGAAGAGACTGCCCGCAACATCTATTTAAGACAGACTGGCTTTTACCACGTTAGTATGAAGACACTTTTTCGAAGGACAAAGTGCCTGAGGGATGAGAGTCGTTAGCTACATAAAGTCCACTCGATATCATAAGCGAGAATGTGTGGAAATTTGTGAGGAACCTAGCAATTAACTTTTCTGCATTAAAATACTTTTTTTCTTCTGAGCTAAACAATGTTAAAGACTTAACATTTTCATTTGTCCAAGTTTTAATCGTCCTATAATAGATAAGACAGTTTTTTTTTTAGATTATTCTTCATGGCACTATAGCGACATTTTCATTGATATATGATACGATAACTTTCGAATCAATATGTTTATTGTTAGTGACACCATCTTGTCATCATAAACTTTCTCGATCTTTACTGCTTTAGGATCATATTTACATAGAATTGACATTGTAACTTGGGAAGACGATTATAGGTTTCTCTTTTTAGGCGGAAAACTGCGTTATCATGCTCATTTTTGAATCGCACCATATGTCATTTCATCATTATCAAAGTGACTTTTAACTGTGTAATATTTTGTAAAAAAGGCAGACTATAAATTTATCCATGGTTTTCAAAAATAAATCGACTTCTTTGCTTCGAAATGATTGTTCAACGGAAATTCAATCTATGGTTCGCTAGGGTGTTCAATAAACTAATTAATCAAAACATAGTTAGGGTCATTAAGTTCGGATTTTTTAAAGGGTTATTTCA